TAATTAATCAAAGAAGATACATGTGAAGTTTACTCATTGCTCACAGACTTATATATAAGAGCACAGTACATACAAGCAAATTACTACAGTACTCTAATAACACATAATACAAAAAGCTCATCACCTGCCACACCCAAAGATGGAATCTCATATATACATATATATATATATATAATATATACACACACACACACACACACACATACACACATTACATCATGCCAACAATATTTACCTACCATGAGTTTATCTTATATAAAAGTGAGTGGTAGAATTAAAGTCACGTTATAACTGTATTATTTTTAAAATATGTCGAGTTCAATAAAAATAAATTATGCATTAAAAATTTTTATAAAAAAAATATTATTGTTAATTTCTTTTACCTCAAAATTTTAAATTAATAATACTGTTTATTTTTATTAATTTATATTTTAACCAAATTTCTTAAAAATATAACCCATTATTATAAGTTAAATACTTTCATTAATTTTTTTAAAAATTAATTATTTTTAATTAAAAAATATAAATTAAAGTTATTAATTTTTAATAATTAATTGAATAATCCACTAACTTAATATTTTACTTTTTATCAACTCGTAACGATTAAAATTAAATTAAAAAAGTAAGTCATAGAATTAGAAATGTTATTAAAATATCTATCAGACACGTTGTGAATTACGCATCAAAGATTTTTATAAAAAAAATATTATTTTTAACACAATTTAACGAAAAAAAATATTTTATTTGTCATATATTTATAAGCGAATTAAAGAATTAAGAATTTTATTAAGAGATAATCTCGATCACAACGTTGTGACTGTATTATTTTTAAATAATATATAATTATAAATTTTTATTAAAATATATTGAATTTAATAAAAATATTTTATTAGCAACTGAACTCTGCCAAAAGTCAAACCTTTTATGGCAAGACTTGGACTCTTTCTTTTTATGAGTCCAATAAAAATTATGTAAAAGACTGAAGACCCATCCCTTTAAAAGGGTAGGGTCCCCCAAGGCATGACCTGCCTTTGCCCATTTTCTGACTCACCAGATCTTTTGATTCCAATTTATTTATTAATAAAATAACCCTAATATATATATATATATATATATTTTTTAAATAAAAAAAGAAAAAAGAAAAAAGAAAAAGAAAAAGAAAAAGGGAAAGGAATCCTTTCTCTCCTATTGAAAGAAGACTTACCTTCTCTCTTTTTAGTTTCCTTTTTTATTTTTTTTTATTTTCCTATTTTGGCTTTTCCTTTTTCAAAATTTTCACTTTCTATACTTTTTCTTGGAAGTTTCTCAAATGTCTGTTGTACCTAAAAATTCTCGGTCCAACCTCACGCGCCTCACAATTATTATATTTTTTAAAAACTATTTTTTTATAAATTTATTACGTTTTATTCTTTCTCTGAAATTATATTATTGTTAAATTAATTCGTGAAATTTAATATAATTTAGTATTTAATATGGGCGGGATAAATAGAACTGAGCATGGAGTGAGGGAAACGCGTGAGAAAGAGCGTGGGAAGAGGGAAGCGGAAAAACATTCAAACTTTGATTTGTAGAAGGTCTGGGTCGTCCCTGACCTCTGAGCTGAACCCTGCGTTTTGCAAAGAGTATCTGTATTACTCTGTACCCTGCTTCCCGTAGCCTGCAACTGTAAAAAAAAACTTTATATAGACTATATATATATACATATGTAAGTATATGTAGATGTATATGTGTATGGCATGGTCACGTGCTTCTTCTGTTGCCACATACCCAACTCCATGTCAATAAAACCAGCCAAAGGTCCAAAAAGCATACCAAGCCCACTGTGCGAAAGCCAAAAGCTCTCTTAGAAAAAAGCAGAGCATAAAAAAAGCAGCTTTTTTTTTTTTCTCATCAGCTTAAAACTCCTCTCTGCTTCTCCCTTGTGACACCATTTTCAATTTCCTCTCCCCAACACCACCATAAAACGATGTGCAAAAGCTCTCTTTATCTCCTCTTTACTAAACCCTTAAAGGCTTAAACCCTCTCATCTTCTTCTTCATTCATCACGCCCGCTGAGATTCATCTCGTTGTTATTCTTTTTCTGGGTTGTTTTTTTTTTTTTTTGAATTCTTCTTCGTGGTTGCCATGGAGGGTACTGGCCTTCTCAAGCTTCAGAGACCTACCGCAAGCGACGATAATGGCGGAAGCACAGAGAGAAAAGCATGTGATAGAAATGAAGGTGGCGATGATGGGTTTCCGTATCCGTTGTTGGAGTCTGAGAAAGAAGCATTGGAGGAAGAAGATGACTCGTTCTTCGATCTTGAGCTACCTCTATCTTGTTTGGATGATAAGAAAAATGACAGCGAAGGAAGTGACGAAGAAAATAAGAGTTTAAGAGACGAAAGAAGTTGTCTTGATTCTGGCGAGAACAAAGCCGACAGTTCCGCCATTAAAGCCGGCGAGAGAAACACTAAATTTGCCGAGAAGCCATTTTCTGCGTCTGCAAATGATCATTTCTCGAAACGGAAAATAATCCCAGTTGAGCTCAGCGGCAAACCTCAGTCACCTATTGCTCTACTCAAATCGGCTCCGAAATTTTGGGTCTTCACGTTCAAAAAACCGAAAGAGAAAACAGATGACGAGTCAGTAAAGACGGAGAAGAAAGATGAACCAGAGTTGACCGTCGAAGAAAAAAGAAGCAAGAACTTCGCTGTGAAATTTAGAATGGAAGAAGTTCAGAGCTTCTCGATGCTCACCAGAGGAAACAGTCTAAGGAAAAAAGGTGGAATTCCACGAAATCAAAGCGCAGAAGACTCATCGAAACGATCGGATTTGATTCAGAAATACTTGAAGCTAATCAAGCTCAAGCCATTTTACATTAAGGTTTCAAAGAAGCAAAACGAGAAAGTGAAGTTATCCGGAGAGATATCAATGGCGTCGGCTGCATCGTCTCCGGTTACGGTGCCCGGATTTTCCCCGAAGAGGGAGAAGCACGGGAATATTCAGGCGGGAATACGGGAAGTCTGTAAGCATCTGGGTAAGAGCAGATCGGCGTCGGCAGCGTTCGGAGCTCGGTCGCCGGTGAGCAGAAGAGATGATTCGCTACTTCTGCAACATGACGGAATCCAAAGCGCCATTCTTCACTGCAAGAGATCATTCAATGCTTCAACAGGTTTTTTATATTCAATTTAATCCGATAATAAAAATCAAAATCTTTTCATTCAATTCAAAAAATCTAATATGTTTTTTTTTTTCCTTCGTTCTCCCGACAAATCAGATCCTTCATTCTTGCTTCGTTCTGCAAGCAATTCTTCACATGAGAAGCTCAGCACTTCATCTTCAGAAGGTACAAAATATTAACTTCTCTCCTTAATCAAGGACACCATTAGTATCTTTGCTCAATCGTGTGATTAACTCTGCAAATCTTCTCTCTCAGATTCTTACCCACTCTCCCGGTTGGCAAGAAATTCATTCGAACAAGCAATTTCTTATAAGAAAACAAGCGGGTTCTACAGTAGTTGAAGAAGTAAAGGAAAAAGGAAGGAAGAAGAAGCTCTTGTTTTTCTTGGATTTGAAGACAGAGCAAGCGGGAAAAACTCAAGACAAAACAAAAAAAGAGATTTAAAAAAAAAAAAAAAGGAAATGTTGTCCATGAATTTGAAAGATAAAAGACAGAAAATCAAAACAGGAGGATCTTGTTTCCATTTTTCTCTCTCTTTTTTTCTTAAATTTGATGTAAAAAAAGAAAATCTGATTGAGTAGCTAGGTATCTATTATGATGATGAGAAGAGAACAGAGTTATATCACTTCTGTGTTCTCTGTAAAAAGTTGACGGTGTATTATTCATTATTAGATAGTTGAGAGATCGAAAGAAGCAAAATTCTGATACTGTTCATCTTACCCATGTATCTATTACATATATACATACATATATCAAAACTACAAAAAATTTAAAATTTATACGACCCATTTGAAAAAAAAAAAAACAAGAAATCAATCCAGTACATATATATATATATATATTCATGTTACCCACATCTCTCTTCATGTTTCCATTACATCCATACATATACATGTATATCAAAAGAGAAAAAGTTCAAAAATTTATATGACCCACGAGAAAGAAAAACAACAAATCAATCCAGTATGCATGTATATATATATACATACACGTCTTACATACAAATTTTAGAAAGAAAGAACAATCATGTCTGGTTTGAAAGAAAGATTTGAGAGTTGGGGGAGGGGAGGAGAGGGGGATATTGATTATACCAAGGAGGGTGAAATGACTTGACAAGTTGCGATTCATATTTTCTGTTCTTTTCCCCCCTCACTCAATTCATTTTTTGTTCTTGGAATTATTCACTTTTTCAGGCCATCATGTTCCTTGTTGATGGCAACATTTTATTGACTCGGACAAGAAACTTACTGAACCGTATAAACATTAATCTCTGTGTTAGATTCAGAGCAGTGTATTACCCATCTGATGATGTCGAGATCTCACCTGGATAATAATAAATAGGGTTTTCAATTTCTAATTTTGTAGTTCAAAATATTTGATTGATGTAAAGTTAAAAAAAAGGAGATATGATTCCCATATCTTAGCTTTCTAAGTGAGTTTTTTTTTTTCTAAAATTATGTTGGGTTTTTTGAACTATTCTAGCTAAATTTAAAAGGATTTAATAATCACATAGTATTTTTTATTTAAAAATATAATAAATTATTCAATATTTAAATTTAATTTAATAAAAAAAAATTAAAAGCTCGTCGAATACATTACGAGTCAAGAAACTCTCGTGACAGAGATCACTTGGCGCGTGAGCATACATACAAATGAAGGCCAAACTGTAACAAGAAATCAAAATTTACCAATCGGTCAGCGCATTTATTCCCTTCGCGATGTGCATGTTATAATTTGACACGTTAATTCTTCAATAACAAGTGTTTGATATCGCGGACGACAGCACTCCGAACACTAATACAATAATCATCATTGTTAAGCAATCGTGTACAGCCAGAGAACCATCCATCTCAATAATAATATTGCGGTATCCAGCATTCCGTACGAGCCGGAGATCGTCTGAGTCTTTCAAAGTTCGGCTTGCACTGCGACACTACTGTTAATTAGTGAATTAAATTTTTAGTCTCATTTAATCAAATACTATTTTAAACACCGATCTGACTCAGTTATTAATATAATAAATATATATATCTGTCGCTTATTGATTTTTTTTTTTTAATTTTAAAATTATAACGTAACATAAATTTCCTATTCCAATCATAAAATAAATAAATTTTTGTTCAAGAATGATATTTTATTATATAATTTATAATATAGTTATAAAGTAGTGAGCTAATTAAATTTTAAATTCGTAATTTTTAAATAAAATATAAAAAATTTAACCATTAAATTACCTCATTCTCAATAGGTTTAAGGAAGTCTTTGGTATCACTTTATGGTACTAATAAAGCATTGTTTTTTTACATGCAAATTCTTGGGGTTTACAAATTTTACATTTTACCTTCGGTAAATACTTATAATTTTTACCTCGTTGAAAAGTAAACGAAGCATTTTCCTCGAAAGAACAAAAAAAAAAAAAAAAGTAACCGAGGAAGATCCTCCTGTTGATAGCAACGAGTTGAAAAATTCAAGCTGTCTGCTTGATGCATCCGGGAAGCTGCCGCCCATGAAGTCATATTTTCTACCCCTAAGATTAGTATAAATTTATAATTAAATAATATATATATATATATTAATCATAAATATATAAAAATATAATTCGAATTAAATTTATACTGCCCGTAAAAAAATAAATTAGGGTAATACATAAAAAATATACACTTATAACCTATATTTTAAAATATATTACGATTACACTATTATAGTTAATCGTATGTCTAACCCTATTAGACAAATATCCCGTACGATAAAATAAGTATTCGTGCGTGGATTAGATTCTAAAAAAATATTATTAGTGCGATAACCGCGTGATTAGTTTTGTTATTACCAATTTATTTATTTGTATTGTTGTATTTCAATGTACCGCTAACTTCGATCGATTGTTGTATTTGTACGTGTCTCTGAGTTGGCTAACGATGCTTAAATGAGAGTTGAACTCGAAGGGTATTGACGCTAAAAAATTTTTCTATCGAAATCGCGTAACTAAACTAAAAATATTTTTAGAACTAATTATTGTACATACATATTATCCATCGGATAGACATGTATCTAAGAGTGTTATACACACAATTATATCACTATATTGATATACAAACGAACAAAAAATGCATTATTAATATTTGAAATTGTGAAAAATTGGAGGGAGGAGAGTCATAATTAAGAAGAAAAATAAAATATGCAAGCGAAGGCCAAAAAATTTTCAAGACAAAATCATAAATGCAAAAGATGGCAGAGACCCACCCGCCCGCCACCTTGTCTCCCAATTTGAGTCACCTCTCTGCTTCATTTTCAAAGTCAATTTTAATCTCCATTTGGTTTTTTTTTTTTCCATCAGATCACACACTGTTTCGCAGCATGTAGTCTAGACTGTCTTTGTTGTCCACCAAGTCATCATCATGTATATATATATACATACATACACGTCGTGTGTATAATGTGTATGCGCTGAGTTCAGAGCTGTCAAACCAGTGTTTCTTGAGTTAACCCACAAATTTTTAACTCTAGTGGATTAGTTTGATGTTGAGAAAGGAATGTCGATTTGTAGGTAATATTTAATGGTATATATACATACACACGCACGCACGCACGCACGCATATATACATATATGTATATGGGGAATCCGATAATATACAGTAGGGTGATGATTGATGTGTATTATAATATAAAAAGAGTATGCTAGTCGCGCATTGTTGTCAGCAGTAAATGATTGCTTATGGAGACGGCAAAGACTTACAAGTAAAAAACAGCATGATGAAGATGTTCAAATTTTCCAAAGAGATTTTGAAAGAAGAATAAAAAAAGGTGGCGGATGAGATGATGAATTCTTCGAACCAGATGATGAACTCTTCGACTCATAATTAATTATTTATTCTAAAAAACAAATTACTTTTTAATACAATATAATATATATTAATCTTGCCAAACTTAAAATATATAACATTAACGAAAGTATGAACAACGCTAAAATATGGATAACCCTAATATATAAATAAGCATTACCTGCGGATGGCTGGGTGGACGGGCGGCCGGGCTGGGTGGCTTCGGCGCGATCACCCGCGATTCTGGTGGAAAGGCGACGGTGGTTTTCCCTGGGTTCCTGAGGGGATGTCGAGGTGGATGTCTTGCTGGTTCGGACACCGTCGTCATCTCCGGCAGCGGACGTGTCTGAGAATGGTCATATTGCTGAGGACTGTAAGGCCCTTCTTGCGAGTCACCCGGATATGTCAGTCGGCTGGGTCTGTAGGCCGCCATATCTGGGATAATTTGTCACCCATCGCAGCTGTTCGTTATACATACGTATACGTATATTAGAATTAGGCATTTGGATTGGGCTATTTCATCTAGTGAGTCAATGGGCTGTATAATTTAAGAGAGGAGATATACTACAAGCCCATATTTTCGTGTATGAATCGATACGACAATTTCTTTTTAAACTGAGTTCAAATGGGTTGAAGATATATATACACACACACACACACATACATATACGCACGTACAAATGAAGAGACAGTCAAGAAGATGACGAGCAGGTAGGGTTTCATGAAAATTCAGTTTCATTTTTACGAGTGGCAGCCCACTTCGAAGCCCAACAAGTTTGAATTCTAATGGACCACGATAATATCGTAAATGTTTCGAAAAATGCAAATTTCTTTTGTTAATAACTTACGAATGTTGATCAATACGTAATCAATCAGTCGAGAAGTAATTAAAAATAATATTTCAACTCGGAAACAAAATGTTCATGAAAACTTTTGTTCCCGTTGAACTATATGCATTAAAATTCCGATTTATGAATCCCTCGATCAAAAAAAAAAAAAGAGAATTGAATTATTTCTTTCGGAGTTTTTTAAATTCGATAAACGTTTATTATATATTTTATTATAATTTTTTAAAGTTGGGATTGAAAATAATAGAATTCAATATGAAATTTAATATACTTTATTTATAATTATTACTTGGATAATACTAATATTTATAATTATTAGTGGTACACAATTAATAGTTTATTATTTATCGAATTTATTTTTTAATTGGAGAGAAAATTAATTCCTATAAAACGACGACGTATTAATCTTTTGGGTTCGTGGGAAATGGAGAGGTTCACGGATTCGCAGTCCGATTCAATACAAAAGCTCGTCGTCACATGCAGACACCCAACTGGAAAAAACACGTACAAGAACTGTCGCCTCGTGAGCTAATCAGAAAATCGCCATTGTATGTATGTATAATATATATATATATATATATATA